ATAAAAACTCTACCCTATGATTAAATAAACAAGACGTATTTATGTGATTTTGACTTAACTTGCTATTGCAGTATTTTAATGTAATATACCTATTTGTACCGCTTGATCCCGATATATAATTGGTCACCCCTTCCTTTCCCGTGGTACACCCACGGGAAAGGAAGGGGTAACTTATTCTATGCCAGGACCACACGGCGAGTATATTACAATAATAAGTAATATTTTATCAGTCACAATAGATAAATAGCAAACGGCTTCTCTAGATAAATAGCAAACGAATAGAACAATAGAATCGTTAACGCTAGCGAATCAATAAAATGAGAATAATTAATTAATTCCGGTAATTTCGTTTGCCACTTGGACAGAATTTGAAGTCAATTGAAGTCATGTAATTTTCTTCAACTTCAAATAGTATAAGTTTTTATTTATTTATTTACACTTTATTGGACCTTTTACAAAAGAATACAGTAAATTTTAATGATATTTTTTTTTTATCTTTTTTATTTAGAGGCTTTTATCCTATAAGGATATGTTAGCCTCATCATACCCTGATTTTATAAAATACCTCACGTACTTAAAACATTAATACATAAATAAATAATACATAAAATTTTAATGATAAATGACACAAATGGCGGTTTTATCGCTAACCTATCTCCCGACAAAGTTATACGATTTTAATTGTCTACATACAGAGATAATCCCGTGTCTGTCTGTAGATGTTAATAGGTTATTTCTGTTGGTGGTCATCAATTAAAACATTATGAAATTATGAAACGGTATTTATACGCCGTCCGTCATGGAGGAAACGCATTCTTCCTTTAATGAGAGGTTGTACAAATTTTGACTTATTGCCAAATAGTTTTAATCGAGGTGAATCGGAAATAGCAGAGTTGTTTATAATTACCTATTAATCAAGGATGTTTACTAATCCAAATATAAATATACAACCTCATTAGTTACTTATCTGTAACTATCGTTGTAGCCTGATTGCTTGTCTTTATCTCAAGTTTTCATAAAGTTGCAAATGAGGCCCTTAGACGGTATCTAATTGGTGTAAAGTGATGCTATTTCGATATTACGTTGCCAACTTAACGATGATAAATTTTGCTAATAATTACTATCATGAAATTTAATAGCTTTCTCACGAGGATTTCAAAAACTCGATTATTTTTAGTAGATGTCTTTATTGTACGAGAGATTTCATGTTTCTATGTTTGTGTATTCCAATTGAAGAGAAAAAATAGAGAGTAGAAAAAAAAAATTATTGTTTGTACTCATTGTTTATTTTCCACACTTATCACTATTTTGATACACTACTTTTTATATATTATATTAAGTTATATTATTATTAATATGATATATATTATATTATATTTGTACATTTGTTAATCATGCTTAAACGGCTGAAATTTGGTACACAAGTGCTTTATATATTAACTTATCGCGTAGAATACTTGATATATTGATTGACGTGGGCAAAACCAAGGGAAATAGCTATACTCATTATTTGTCAAAGATCGTCATTCGTAATTTGTTCTAATCCTATTAATATAATAAATACGAAATATTTATAACGATGAATGGAAGGATGTTTGTTGCTTTTTCACGCAAAAACTACTTAACGGGTTTATTTTAAATTTGGTACACGTACATATAGCAACTTATTAATTTTTATTTATGCAACTTAGAATGGCAAACAAGCTGATGGCCCACCTGATGGAAAGTGGTAACCGTTGCCTATGAGCAGTACCATGGACATAACAGAGTATACTGTTTCGCCCATGCATTCCTCTGTACCCTGTAAATTCACTGCCATATCCCACTCTTCAAACCGAAACACAGCTATGCAAAGACAACTGCTGCACGGTAGAAACACGAATGGTACAGAGGTCCATTATTGGGGGGAAAGGGATTGTTAATAATAGAGACTGAGAATCTCATTGCTAGCAATATACCCAACCACGTCGACCACCTCGCGGTTCCCCTTGGAAACTATCATGGTTAATTCCTGATGAATTCATCATGATTAGCTAACTGGCCTGTTTTCATTCTCATCTATCACCCTTCACTGGTGCTCCGCCAGCGTGTCCCGTTAGCGCAGGCGGGATTGCCATTCCATTTTCACTCATCAAAAAAAAATTATACAGAGGTGCCAAGCAAACGACTTTTGTACAAAGTCTGCCTCCAATATATGTAAAAATAAAGATTTCGTATCACCGCACATTGTTCACAATGTCAATGCCTCATACTGCGCATTGTTATCTCCGCCTAATTCCCGTATGTAATTTTATGTAAACAGATAGTGCCTACGTTATCGGAAAACCGGTTCGCGAACGGAAAATGCTCGGAAATTACGCCAACTACGTAGTAGAGCTGCAACTTGATTATTGGCCCGGCGCTAATGTACCCACGCCACTGTAGGAGTGTAAACTTATTCACCATTACTGCAGTGAATTAATGATTGCGGTATTTTTATTCCATTACTAATGAAATGCCAAAGTATGACGAATAAGCTGACGTTTCAACTGTTAACTGTAGTGACCATGAGCGTTTCTTTTAAACTTTTTAAATAAAAATAATGCAATGGTGATTCACGGGTTCTATAATACACCCTATCAGGTCGACATCCACCCGGTTCCCCCTGGAAAAATGGACCAACTGACCTGCTTCATCCCTCATTGTTGCCCCACTAGTGTATACAGATAATGCAGGCAGGGTCATTTTTACCCATTAAAATAAAATGTGAACTTATCAATATATTATCATCCAAAAAAAGTCAGCAGTAAAATAAATTTCATGTGATATATATTTACATATTCAATAAGCTACAGTGACCGTTTACTATCACACGAGCTGTATGCTTGTTTGTCATCATTGTGGTATTAAAAAAAAAATTCACGTTTCATCGAATTTCTGAGAGCAATATATGAAATTTATTTAAAAAAGCAAAGCTTTGGAAATTTAATGATTCAATAAGTATTTAGTTATCCCATTAATATAATAAATGCGACAGTTCGTAACGATGCATGGATGCATGTTTGTTATTCTTTTATGCAAAAACTAATAAACAGATTTGAATGAAATCTGTTTATTAGTTATAGAAAAACCTGTGTATTAAACACAGATAGATAATATTGTAACTTTGTACATAAAATACTTTATACTTACTGATTTAAACGGACAAAGCCGCGGAAAACAGCCAGTTATAAATAAATAAACGAAAATAAACTAGACGACTATGTATAATATTATTATACCGTAGTTTTAGCGCGTAGGTGCTAAATAAATTGAAATTTTCTATGTAGGCTCCATCCAAAATTTTCACAAGGATCAAAGCATGTGCTTTCTCTGTACTGAATCCTCGCCTTATTAATATTTATTGTGTATTAATATTTATTATATCGTATCTTTTGTCGTGTTGTCGGGACCACGTTCTATGCTGTGCCATAGAATGGGCCACCCTTTACGTGTGGTAAGAGGCGATTAACGCATCTTAATAGTCGAGGGATGGACAGCAGCGTCCCTCTTAAAACATCACCAAAGCCTAACTTAATAGGAAAATTACAAGCCACGTAGGATGTTTTCATTCTAGCTCTCCAGAATGAGAACGCACGAGGAATACCATGAGTATCACAATGCATTCTGTGCGGTCTATGGTGTATAAATTATATGTGGTTTATGTAAAAAAAAAAACTTGTAATAGACATAAACAACATTATATCTATCACAAGTTTTTTTTTTATTGTTAGCCACTTAATGTCTAACTGCGGTCGTAAATCTAACCAATTTTATGTTGGTTTTTATTTCATATGAATGCGTAAAAGAACGTAATTCGCCTACATTTGCCACCTATCATTTGGTGTAAACATGTTGTAAATTTCGAAGAATAAACAACAAATATCTTAGTTCAGTAAACAGATTGTTCTTAGTAAAATCCCAGTTTCTACTGTATTTACAATACCTCGTTTAGATTGTGAGTCAAATGGCTATGATTGTACTTTTAACGAGAACAACGGAATTAATATCTCGCTACTGTAAACCAAATAGGATACTTGCTTATCTATATTGAAACATTATATTTGTGGTTGTGGTTTGTACGTATCTATTATAGACTCATTCGTCGTTCGTATCATTAACCGACTTCAAAAAGGTGCTTCTTAGTTCTATTGTATTTTTTTTTTATGTTTGTTACCTCATAACTCCTTCAGTTGTAAACCGATTTAGTAAATTCTTTTTTTTTTATCTGAAGGAATATATGTACAGTTTGGTCCCATAGAAATTTTATTAAAAATGGTTCAATAATATACTTTTTAGGCCAAAATAATTGATTTTGCCACAATTGAAGTCGGTTTTTGTTTTGTGCAACAAAATTTTATATTCTTATAGTATATTACTTGTGTTTAATAAATAATATAAATAAAGTTTACTAGCGTTTTGCCTGCTATTTCGTACGCAAGGATTTCAAAAGTAGAAAAAAATAGAATACTTCTAGATAGAGTATCGAAATAAAACAAATACCAGAATTTAAATTAGACCTTCAGGAGTATAACTGTGAAAATTGCATTCAATTTGGTGCAGTAAGTTTTACGTGATGCCAGAACAAACATACAGACTGACAAATATTTCAAAATTTTTTTTTTTTTTTTACTATAGCTCATATAAGACCCCTCATATAATTTTTCCTTAATATCTCCCAATTACAGATATCCTCATTACATTTTCAACCGACTCTAAAAATTAAGTTTTATTTTTTTATAAATAGGAACTTTTTGAACACCTCTGTACATTATTGATACCCATTAATTCCTTTCTTTCTTTAACTAGGGAGAGTAGATAAAACCTTATCTAAGAAATTAGTTCAGGGTACAATAGGGCTGATATACCTGCAAAAGGTAAAAGCTCTTAAGTAAAAAATAAACCTGGCTCGAGATTAATATATATGTTATATGTCAGCGATATAAGTAATTCTCTATAACAAACATATTTCAATCTTTCAGGTGGTGGAATGTCACGAGAAGAGAACACAAAAGAAACGGGCGCTTAAAGTTCTGCATGACAGCGCAAAGGCCAGAAGAGAGGTAGAACTTCACTGGAGAGCCAGCGGTTGTAGGCACATAGTGGAAGTTAGTATACATTATGTATCCATTAGTAAATTCCTTCTATATATCCTATTTAAGAGCTTCGCTCTTGTCGGTGAAGCTCTTGCCACTTACTACGATTTTCAGCGAGTCTCTTCACCTCTTGATACGACACGACACCAACTCCTTCCTTGATCTGCCTGATATAACTATGCCTCGGTCTCCCTCTTCCCCTCCTTCCTTCTATCTTACCTTCTATTATAATGTTCATAAGTTCGTCGTGTCGTATCAAGTGTCCCAACATTTTTTCTTAGTAAATTCCTTAGATATTATTAAATGAAATGCGAACAGTTGTAAAGAAAATAGAAAATGTATTAAAGATTTTAGAACATCTGCAACATGGGAGTATGTTCTCTATCTATGGTAAAAATAATCTATCGATCGGAAAAATAATTATCAAAATCAATTTATAATTGGCGTGGTTATCACGTTATTAGAGATAAAACAAATAAAGAAATAAAACAAAATAAATAAATGAATAAAATAAAGTAAGTAGACTTCAGTAAGAGGCTTCTTTTTCAAATAGCATAGAAATAAAACCGTTAGAAACTAGAAAATACTAACTTTTTATCGTTCCCTTTTTAAACTTTAACTCTCGGCGCAAAGTAGTATTACAAGTTTGAAGCCTTTGTATATTTATTTCTTCGGAACTCGGATTCGGAATAACTCTCTAGTATCGAATTTTCAAACGGATAGATAAATTCCAAAGCAGTTTAGGTTTTAATTTCAGTTTGTTCTTAGCTTAGTTTTAAAGAAAAAATCCTAAGAGTTTTCACTTTTTTTCAGTTACTTTTTAACTAGCTATTTAGAAACCTCGTTCATTGCTGCACTAATTTTTGCATGATACCGGAACATAATTATTAAGACTCCATATATACATATATATATTTTAATATCTCATAAGTAATATAAGTATAAACAATCTTCAATGTAAAGTCAACATTTTCTAGGTTATTTAAAGTTCCGTATCTCCAGCGATAAAATGAATCCATATTAAAATGATTGAGCACTCGGCAATGATTAATTACGAATAATCATTGTAGATTTAAATATAATCAATATACTTACGATAAATATGATATTTTTTATAATAAAAATTCAAATGAGTACGGTTTGAACTCGCATTTATTAATTACTAGTCTGCAGATATATTTTTTATGTAAATTATATACATATTTCTCGTATATCTAAGTACCTAGTGTGCTTGATTTATTCACAAATGACGTCACTATAGATTTTTTTAATGAGAATAGAATAGGTAACCGCGCCTGCACTATCAACATACGCTGGCGGGTCACCAGTAAGAAAGGATAGATGAAGGTAAAAGCAGGTCAGTTAGCCCATCATGACTAATTCCCCAAGAATTAATTACTATGGTTTCCAGAGAGAACCGCGTGGAGGTTCAACACATAGGGTATTTTGTTAGCAATGAGGCTGTTAAACCCTATTACTAAAAATCCCTTTAACCCTTCTTTGCATACTGGTGGAAATTTCCATCATAACATTGAATGCCTAAAACTTATATAAAAGACCAAGTTCACTCTAAGTTGATTGTGTCTGGATAATTTTTTAATGTCCATTGCAGAAAAAAAAACATAGCTCTCAAATCTATTGTTTTAACCAATTTTCCTTTAATTTTAAACATGAATTATATGACTTTGATTTCACCAATAAAAAAATCATGCAAAGAAGGGTTAACCTCCATTGCTATAGGCGTACTATAACACGGAACCCGGGACCCCAACATTATGGCGCGGCGAGGGATGCCGTGGTGGTTTTAGCCCGTAGGAGTCCGGCAGTACCCATGCGCCTCTCTTAGGGCGTTTGGCTCTGCATGATGCATTTCCCCACGAAAAAAAAGGCGTACTATAACACAGATAATAAAATACCATAACCATCTTAATATACTCAAATTTATGGTGCTGTTCATGCCTATATATGATAAATACTAGTTTTCATCAAATGAACCGTCAGCTTGTTAGTCATTCTCAGTTGTATTAAAAATAAAGTTATTGGTAAACATAAGCCTTCTCCCCATAAAAAACGGTCCCAAGCCACATGCATCCACTGACTCCTTGCAACGTATTTAAGGTCGTTGCTCCATCTGGTTAAGGGTCGCCTACACTGCCTTCTTTAGGCATAGTTACAAAAAAATTCCAAATATAATTGAAGACAGACATATAACATACATTATTGTTTTTAGCGATACACGATCACCCCAAACGCTTGGTCCTAGTTAGGATACCCTTTGTAAAGAACCAAACTAAAAATACCCAAGTGGTCTTCTATAAAATAATTTCCACATTTTTAGACTAAATTTCGTGTTTTCGTTCATACCGAAATCAGCTCAGTAAATGCAAGTTAATATTTCGTTCGTCATAAATCCTACCATAAAAATCCAAAGGACCGAGATTTTGATATTTTTAAACAGTATGTATTATGTAATTTTAATATCAAATTTGTGTTTCGTCCGGCACCGAAATTTTGGAAAACATTTCATGGTAGACTCCCAGATCCCGGATAGTTCAGAAAAGTTCTCTTTCTAAATTGGCCCAACCAGGAATCGAGTACGAAACATCGAAAATATATTTTAGTCTGTCCAAATACCTACTCGGAGATTTCAATATCTTCTGTAGACGTTTCACGCTCAAATGATTTTATTCTATAAACTAATACCGTTACGTCTAGACGATTTATTGAACCATTGTTCTAAACTCCATCGTAGTGCAGATTTGTTTTATAAATCTCGATGTTTAAATCTAATTTTGTAACAAATTACTTCGCACGTAATGTCATCCTCGTGGCATGTGCGTCATCTATATGTTTAGTTAATATGTTTTGTATATACAAATGCAAATAATATTCTTTTTTTTTATGAGTAAAAATGGAATGGTAACCCCGCCTGCGCTATCGGTACACGTTGACGGGGCACCAGTGATAGATAATAGGTGAGGATGAAAGCAGGTCAGTTGGCCCATCGTGAAGAATTCAACAAGAATTAACCACGATGGTTTCCAGGGGGAACCGCGTGGAGATCGACCTGATAGAGTATATTGCTACTAATGCAGCTAGGTGGCTCATTCTATGCCGGAACTATACCAACAGTATTTTCAAAGATTCTTCTTAATATTAATAACTAAGTCTAATCATAATAAAAAAAGTAAAAATTTTTTTTTTCTAAACCACAGATAATAGATGTGTACGACAACACCTACGGCGGGAAACGATGTTTGCTGGTTGTAATGGAATGCATGGCCGGAGGCGAGCTGTTCCAGAGAATACAAGACAACAGCGAGGGAGCATTCACTGAACGACAAGCTGCCGAAGTAAGTACTGACTTTATTAAAGGTCCCCCCTAATAATTATATTGCGCCCCTATATCCCATAGCGAGGATGGAATGCTTAAACCAAGTACCTTTGTCACCCAAAAAAAAATCTTATTAAACGACTGCCTAAAAGAATACCATTTTCAGAATTTAAATATGTGAGTGATTTCTTTATTACACCATAACTTCTAAATGCCTGTACAGATTTTGATGTATGGGGTATTGTTTGAATTCTTACCTTAATTTTTTTTTATACAACTTAGAATAGCAAACAAGCTGACGGCCCACCTGATGAAAAGTTGTAATCGTCGCTTATAGATAAAAAAATAATCCAAGTGACACTATAAATTTATTGCAAGTATTTTTTTTTACAATGGTGGTCTAGATACTGTGTCTATAGATTGTCTACAATAACATGGCACGCCCCTTCGAAATCCAAAAAATTAAAAATGTGGGAATGTAATTATTCTATCTTATATTAAATGCCTTGGTCGCAACCTTGTCGACCAAGGCTTATAATATTATACTTCTCTATCTGGACACCTATTGAAGACATTTCCTCACGCACACAAACAGAGCATCACATCTGTATATGGTCACACGTTGAAGTAAAGAGTTGAAGGCAATCTTTTTTTTTTTATCTGTCAGTCTGTATTTTTGTTCCCGCAACACAAAAACTACTGCACAAAATTTGATCCAGTTTTCAAAACTGTGTTAGTTTCACAGTTGTGTTCCTAAATGTCAAACTTAAAATCTGATGGGTTTTTCTACTTGATACGCAATCTAAAAGTAGTCTATGTCATTAGTTTTCCTAATGATGACGTTCAACTGTCACGTGACCGATGACTGGTTTGTAACGTTCATAATATAAATTAGCAAGGCAGTTCAATTTACGCCGTAATCTGCCTGGAAATAAGAGTTCATAATACGACCCCTGATATCCACTCATGTTATATAACGGGCAAAAGCTTATCCTTATATAAATATATTTTTAGATAATGCACTCCATCTGCGTCGCGGTCCGACATCTGCACGACTCCAACATTGCACACCGCGACATCAAGCCCGAAAACCTCCTGTACACAAGCATGGAACCGAACGCACTCCTCAAGCTCACAGACTTCGGATTCGCAAAGGAGACGCTAACACCCGCCGACACGCTCCAGACTCCCTGCTACACACCGTACTACGTTGCGCCCGAGGTTCGTAACGGATTTATGTTCCTCATACAGTCAACAAATTGAAGTAGATAATGGAGGGGGGGCAGGATTATTAGTAATGGGGATCTGACAGCGTCATTATTATTAGAAAGAAGGGAATTACTATCGTTGTTGTATCTAAATTTTTCTTTTTTTTTGATGGGTGAAAATGGAATGGTAACCCCGCCTGCGCTAACGGAATACGCTGGCGGAGCACCAGTGAAAGGTGATAGATGAGATTGAAAACAGGCCAGTTAGCCCATCATGATGAATTCATCAGGAATTAACCATAATAATTTCCAGAGAGAACCGCGAAGAGGTCGACCTGGTTGAGTATATTGCTAGCAATGGGATTCTCAGTCTCCATTACTAACAATCCCTTTCCCCCTGTACATCCATGTTGTTTCCTCTGGAAACCATCTTGTTTATTTTTTATGGACTCGTCACTATAGGCCTGTTTCTTCTTCACCTATCACTTCTCACAGATGCCCAGTGTATACCGATAACGCAGGCAGGATTACCATTTCATTATCAGCCATTAAAAAGTTATTAAGTAAATAATGGTGACTTTATAAAACAAGGATCAGATCTGAACTAAACTATTTTACCTTTTTTTAAATCACCCCAATTTCCTTATAAGCAAACTGGTCTTGAGGTATTTTTACGGGATAGAAATGGAGTGGCCTGCTCTATTGGTATACACGCTGCCGAGACGCTAGTGAGAGACAATAGATGAAGATGAAAGCAGGTCAGTTGGCCACCATGACAATTTTCACAAGAATTAAACACGGTATCCATGGATATTGGGAAATATTGCTAGCTATGGAACTACTGAAGTAATAAAGTTAATCAAGTAGTGCCCGAACTCGCCGACATCTAAAAGGGGTGCCACAGTCAGTGTTACTGATGTCTATGGAATACCAGGCGGGTCGTATGCTTGCTACATTCGTAGTACAAAAAGTGCCTCGCCGTTTTCTACATTTATAAACCTGTACTGTAATAAAATGATTTTTTATAATTACAGGTTTTGGGTCCCGAAAAGTACGATAAATCGTGCGACATTTGGTCTCTGGGCGTAGTGATGTACATTCTGCTCTGTGGGTTCCCTCCATTCTATTCCAACCACGGTCTTGCCATATCGCCCGGAATGAAAAAGGTTTGTATACCTACAATGTTGTCCTGTTTTTTGTCACGGTTTTTTTTTATTATTTTTATAAATATTTTAACCTATTTTTCTCGTGAAATCCGCTTATCTAATGCAAAAAGAATTTTTCAAATCCGTCTGGTGGTAGTTTCAGAGATTAACGCGTTCAAACAAACATTTTTCTATATTATTATGAACAAATTTATACCATACCATTTTTTTATATAATTTTTTTCTCCCTTCCAGCGTATAAGGCTGGGTCAATACGACTTCCCTGAGCCAGAGTGGTCCAACGTGTCATCGGAAGCCAAGAATCTCATCAAGGGAATGCTGTCCGTGGACCCGGCCAAGCGCCTCACCATACATCAAGTATGTAATACTAGCAACTAAGCGCGACTTTACTTTGGGTGTTCTGTTATTTTTTTTTTTCTGGGTTAAACATTACAATAATTAACACAATACAATAAAAAAGTGTTTACAAAATTTGTTTACCACTGACGAAGTTATGACGTCCTTCTTTTTGAAATCAGCTGAAAAAATACTATTTCAGTATGTGTGCTTTTTTTTATACAACTTAGAATGGCAAACAAGCTGACGGCCCACCTGATGGAAAGTGGTAACCGTCGCCTATAGACATGAGCAGTACCATGGACATAACAGAGTATAATATTTCGTCCATGATACCCCCCATGTGTTGCCATTCCTGAGGACTCAGGTTTTATTCCTCTGTACCCAGTAAATTCACGCCATATCCCACTCTTCAAATCGAAACACAGCCATGCAAACACAGCTGCTTCTTATCAGTCGTCTAGTATATGCTCTTTTTATTTTCGGATCAGATGATACTATGCGATATGTCCAGGAATATATTTTTTCGGGATTGTCCAATAAGCTAAAAATATCCTAATGGAAAGTGACAGGATATTTATAATAATATAAATATTATGTACTATTTTCCTGCAAACAAAATCTCATCCTGTTAAGTCCCGATAGTGTATTTAAAATACGATTTTTTATAAATATTTCCAGGTAATGGCCAGCCCCTGGATCCGACAGTACACGCAAGTACCACAGACGCCCTTATACACACACACGCTACTTCGCGAAGGGGGCGAGGCGTGGGCGGATGTCCAAGATGAGATGACAAGATCGTTGGCCACGATGCGAGTCGATTATGATCAAGTATGTCCTGTAATCATGCTTCATTACCTCAAAACTTTATTTAATTTATTTACATTAACACATTTTGTATTATTTAAAAATCTGGCTTCGATTCCCATCTGATCAAGTTATGGGAAAGTAAATTTTTGATGCTGCAAATAATTTAGGAATCTGATTGTGCATTTTTAAATATTTTTAAAGCGCCTTTTCTTTGTAAGTAAGCTAACATTGCTAGATATAGACATACATATGTATCCATCGCGCCTATCTCCCATTGGGGTAGGCAGAAACAATGAAACGTCAAATGCTTCGATTCAGACTTCTTTTGCAATGAGGGAGGTGAGCAGAGTAAAACACACTTCAGATTTACATGATGAGTACTCTGGTCATAACCAATTACAATATCTCTTATTTTAACTTCTACGTGCTAATATGGAATGTATTATTAGGAAGTTATTTCAAACTTTTTGCTATGTTCATGGAACGTGTCATTAGTTACGTTACCATATCACACTTTCCTCTACAATCATTAATATTTTCATACACGCTTGCCGGTTACGGGTACTTTTAATTTGGCCCTTTTTCAGCACATGGACTATTGAGTACGTAGAGCGACCCCTACCGACATCTCTTTCATTTGTGCTCGATAAATCTTTTGCATAATTCTTCTTTCTTCCATTCTCTCCAAATGACCAAACACATCATTCCATTTTCGATCTTTGTCACTACATTCTCTTCTTGTCCACACTTACCTCCAAACAGCTTCTGCCATTCTCACGTTTCGTTTCCATACATAAGTGTTGGTGTTAGTACTCTCTGTATTATGGTAAGGCGAGCAAAACAAAACAAAATAGTCATTTATTATAATGGATCATTTGCTAATACTGTTGCTTTTAGATACACTCACATTGTAAATATTGTGTGTTTACATATAGATTTTGCTTCGCAACAAGTAGATCTTTGGTCCGCAAAAGAACTGCAGTTTTAATCGCCACTAAATTTAAGTGAGACTTACACGGGAGAGAAGCCTATTACTTGCGAGAAAAAAATTAAATAGATTAAGTGTTACCAACATAATCATATGAGTTGTAAAAAAACATACAGTAATTGAGAAGAATATTCATTCATGGAAGTGACTTAAAAATCTATATATAACTATAATTAAAGTGCATTGTTAACATATATAAATTTTCATAATATGTTTCTTTTCAGGTACAAATCAAAGCGCTAGAACATAGCAACAACACATTGTTAAACAAACGGCGGAACAAGGTCGGAGCTTAGATTTTAAGATATAGCTTATCGTGCTACTTAATTATAATTTGACCGGGTTTGTTTCTTAAGTCTAAGACTGTAAGAACAATGGTTTACCCAACAAAAGGGGAGAAATTACAATCATTCTGTTATACTTAATTATTAATTTATTTACACAAATATAGTGCAATACATATTGTGCCAATTTTAATGAATTAATCTGATAAAACAACTTCGATCGTACTTTGCTTCGTGGTTTGACAATAATTAGTTTACTTGTGTCAGATTTAAGTTACGTTTGCCATAGCAAATAAAAATTATACCACATATATAATTAATAGAAAATATAAATATGCGTTTTGTTCAGTAGAGTACACGAAATTATATTTAAATTCATGTATTTCTTTTAAAATAGACTGACCTCCTGATTTTTCTACTTATTACTAGTATCTATATAAACAATATTTAAACATTATAGTTACTCTATGCTTACCTCCTGTTTCCTCTAGTTCCTATTTTAACTATTAGGTTGCTAGCGAAGACTATCCGGCTCAAAGGACCAAATATTATCTTCAATTCAATCTCCTGCCCTCTAGAGCCACGGTAGTGAAACAAGTAATTATGGATAATTTAATGTTTAAAATATACCATATTGAATACTACACAATACTAATAAAGACTGTCATTGCCTCAATCAATATGAAGATTTTACTTTGCTTAGGTGGAAATTAAATTAATAATATATAAAGTAGAATCCACAATAGTATATCCTAGTATATCCTAAAACTTTTTGTTTAGTATACTGCTCAAAACGGTTTATTTCCTAAAAGCATGTACTAATTATATATACATTCTAAATGTTTTGTTTTTTCTTTTTTGTTCTTTTGTTTTTTTTTTGTGTTTACATAATTCTTTGTTCTAGTTATTACATAAAATTATATCGCGTCATTAAAATGTTTATGTATTATTAGTAACTCATATTGAATTTAATTTAACGCTCCTTTATATAAAAAATATTAATGCTATTTTTAGCATACCTATGTACATATATATAGAGGCAGCCTGAACAACAGTCATGTTCTATACACTCTATGATCCAATGTCCAAAATTATTCTCTTTTTTTCATCTCTCTTTTGTAATTATCATAATATTAATTAAATAATAATTAATTATACTATTAATAAGTATTAATTTAATTATTAAATATTCGCATTTAACAATTATGTGGTCGGTGCATCCAGTTTTATTAATAATATTAATTAAATATTATTTAATTAAATTTAATTAAATATTATTTAATTTAATTAATAATTTTTTCGTTAATTAAATATTAATTAATGTTCACATTCACGATTTTATGGTCAGTGCCCCCAAAGTTTTTGTTCTAATAAACCAACATACTTAATAACAACTTCAAGTCAATTACGCATTTTTATTATTAAACTGTAATAGTTTTTTTAAGTTATTAATATTGAAAGACACAGAGATAAGATGTTTGAACAGGTTTATCACGTTTCCGGTATTATTTGAATGTAACTGAATGTAGAAGTAATCAATCAATTTGAACATAATGGTTTCAAATATTAGAACTACTTACTGTAACTTTAGTACTAATTGGTACATTACATACGCCCCGACACTATCAAAGCTATTTTTAAATTTATAACATAACATAATACATTTTAGAATATTGGTTAACGTTCAAGGGTCCTCAATGTATAGTCTCGCTTGAAAAAAAAAAAAATTAAAGATATTATTTGCGATAAACTCTTCATATATTTTATTTCTATTTAATTATAAATTAATATAATAAAAATATTAAGGAAAAACGTTTAGTTATTTAAGCAAGTTGTCTATTTTTGATAACACTCTGGCCTCATATTATTTTATTGCTAGCGTTGTTAACTCTTTCTAATATTCATTATAAACCTTGTGTATTAAATAAACAAAGAAATGTTTGTTCATTAATTTTCAATATAAATATAATATCATTTCATTTATAAAATATTTTTGTAGGAGTATCACCATCATTCATGTTTAGACGAACGTTTCGGTTCTATGACCAATTTAAATTGGTTTAAGTGAAAATTAAAGTCAATTTTGCATCATAGTCTTATGCAAGATATAGGTGCTGTCTCAAATTATCTAATATAAATATACTGTAGTAGATACTAGACGTAATTGCAAAATATTTATAAAAAAAAAAAAGGAAAAACTTTTTAAAATGCTTACAATCACTAAGTCAATATTTCTCAACTATTTAAATGCCTATCGAGTATATATTGTAAATAAAATAAGTTATAATTACTGCTAAGTTAATTAAAACATAATATATATATATATATATATATATATATATTAAATACCTTTTTGTCATTATGTGTAAGTAGTCTTATACGATATATTACAATATCGACGAATCTAACTGTACACTTCTGTCAGGACTAGCTTTGCATAAATTAATTCATTTGAGCCATTAACTACCCACTGCTGAGCATAAACCTTCCTCATAAAGCGAGTTTTGCTAACAGTTGCTAAAATAGGTGGGTTGGCAACCGCAGTTAGGCTTTTACAGAAGTTTTAACATGAACGATGTTGTCCATCCCTCTACCAAATGAATAAATATTTATTTTGAATCGTGACAAAAATGAAGTACAGTTCAGTAAAAATATTGGTGTTGTTTTAGATATACATATAGATATATATATGTATTAGATACTATAATAATATACATATTTTATAAATTTAAGTAAATATAAATTGGGTGTGCATTTCAATGTTTCGATGTTAATTGTATTCTGAAAAATTTACAAATAAGATTAATTTAATTAAACTTTAATTATAAATTCGTAACTAATTTGAAAAGGTTGTAGGTCTAAGTTAATCTATTTGCATAATTTCCTTCCAAATTTATTACATGGAAGGGTAAACTCTTAATTTTTTTTCTCAAAATTTTAAATGATACTAGTTATTATTATTGGCACTCGTTTCCCTCCCCATACTGTAAAATTCTTATGTAAATTATTAGGTAAACCGTTGAAATCGAAATATTCTTCGAGTCAAATTATTTACTCTCAAAAAAATGTTTGTAATCTATCAAAGACAGTCTGTCGAATTCATAGTACATAAATACCTGAATGATGTAACTCCAGACGTGTGATAGCTGCGCTGATAATTGTTTTGTGGTCGTTTAACATTCACAGTTTAAAACTGTCTTACTAGATGGCATTGGAGTCGTTATAACTCTAAGCCATGTTTTACAGTTTATGCAATTGTAGTTCATTAAAATTTAAGAACTTATAGGAGAGAGGAAGTTATTGGAAACAATTTAAAACAAACTAACTTCAATACTGGCCGAATGGCATATACATTCAATGCTTTACATTCGGAAATGTTACAAACGAAAAAAGCGAAAGGCACGTAATAAAACCACCCACTTCACACTAAAATTATCTTGAAATTGTCAAGAACAATCTGACAAAACATTAAGGTTTGCAAGTTCTTGCAAGTGACTTTACAAGTGTTTGGTTGTTATCATTATTGCCAATTTTTGTTTACAACAAGTTGATATTGTAATGATCAGTAACGTCAGTGTTACAAAATATTGGTTTGCAAGTTCTTGCAAGTGACTTTACAAGTAAGTTTTGGTTATTATCATTATTGTCGATATTTGTTTACAATAAATTAATGTTGGAATTATCAGTAAAATCAGTGTTACAAATTATTGGTTTGCAAGTTCTTGCAAGTGACTACAAGTGTTTGGTTATTATCATTATTTTCTATATTTATTTACAATAAATTGATGTTGGAATTATCAGTAACATCAGTGTTACAAAATATTGGTTTGCAAATTTTTGCAAGTGACTTTACAAGTTTATGATTATTATCGTTATTGCCATTTTTTGTTTGCAATAAAATGATCTTGAAATTATCAGTAACGTCAGTGTTACAAAATATTGGTTTGCAAGTCCTTGCAATGGACTTTACAGGTGTATGAATATTATTAATATTGCCAATTTTTATTTACGACCATTTTGTTGCCGTCCATCTTCTAAGAGAGCCCCATATGGGATATTTTCATAATATGAATATATTTTGGGTGCTTTTTTGTGCTATATTGTTATGTAGTTGTGAATATACATATGCAGTCTTGATGTATACATACATACACACAAAGTTCAAGAAAATATCCTTATATTTTTAAAATGGTTTCTATTATCCTATAGACAATTAGGTATTAAAACCCTTGTAATAATTACGCACTCTGCTTGCCATTATACAAACGACATTATCTGTTTCTGTTATTTTTTTTAACTGATATTTTTATTATGTGAAACTCTGTATGTATGTATGTATGCAAATAAGATTTCTGAATATTCTTAAGTCACAAAATCATATTTTTAATATGATACTATAGATGTATAGGTTATTTACATTGTGTAAATAAGGAACAATTTATGTATTAAGATCGGTAGATTTATTAGTACAGAGAAGGACTTAGCGCCACTTATATAACTGCTAAGGTGATGATTGTATTATTCCTAATTATTGGAGCCATAGATAAATGTTTTATCTACTTAAAATTGAATGCGTAATGTATTAATTTAAAAATGCGGTCAGCATCCATAACATTATTAAACCGTATATTTACATCAACAGATAATAAAAGTCTATAACCTTAAAAATCAATTTGGGATGATTCTTTTGTCAACTCAGTGACGGGAAGGCCTTCTCTCGTCTTTCAATATTGCATTTGAGGTTTTACCCCCCTTATCTCACAGTGCAATATTTACTTTATAATCTATAAGCTTAGCTTTTATATAAAAGTGAGCGTAATTGTTTCAAGTAGCACAAAATTTGGTCCCACCGCCGGATAAACGTTTGTCTTTGTATATACGTATCAAGCAATACCTAATGATTGTGTAAGTCAAATTCATTTAGGTAGTTTGGTAGTGTTTTGTTACATTTACTTTGATCCATCATTGTACTTCAGTTTTTACCCAAAAAGTTATAATTGCATTATTCTCTTGTACTTACATTTTTAATACAATCTCAATTTTGTCCTATTAAGATAAACAAGTCACAAATTTTGTAAAATTGTGTCAATTATACTCCCGGATGTAGGAAAATATGTTGTTTTTTCTATTATTATTGATATTAATAATGATTCCCTTGAAATATGAGACACAAGATGTTGCATATAAAACAGTATAAATACATGTTGTATCTGGATTTCTTTTCTATAAATAAAGCTGCTGTAAATAAAAATTTAGGTAAACTATATTATGTTTTATTGAACTCATTAGAAATAAGGTTAAATGCCATTTTTTTTTCATTATATTTTAAAATTTTTCTTAAAAGGGCAGAGCAGTGCTGTCTTGGATGATTTTCAGTAAGTGCGACCCCTGTCCGACTTCGAAGAACCTATCAATTTCGAATTCTCGAAAAAGCCGATACCTCCGAAGTATTAGAAGGAAACCTATTATAAAATGTTTTTAGGGATATCAACTTGTCTGTCGACTCAAAACCAAATAAGTTCACCAAAATTAGACAAAAATCACTCAATTTCTATTATTAAAATATGTAATTATATACAGTTATTCTAAAAATGGAGTTTGTCATAGTGACAAATGTGATGCGTGTTAGCCAATCAAACTCACAAATAGAATTCTATGCAATTGCAAAGTGTTGCCATGTGTAGCAAGGTTATTTATATTTTTTTTATTATATATGTACATTATAATTTTTGGGTAAAACTGTAGTGAGCCCGTAATGAAGGCGTTTGCCGAGCTATGAGACTTGTACTTGTTTGCCTACTTACAATATGTATTCAGGTAGTTTGGTTATTTATTGTATTATAGAAACCCCAGTATCACATTAATGTCTGTGTACATGGTTGTACTTATGGATTATATCCAATACTTTTTCATTAATATATTTTCTAATATAAATACATTTAAAAAATAAAAAATGTTTTTTAAATTTTTTTTTTTTTTTTTTTTTATAGAACTTAGAATGGCAAACAAGCTGACGGCCCACCTGATGGAAAGTGGTAACCGTCGCCTATAGACATGAGCAGTACCATGGACATAACAGAGTATACTGTTTCGCCCATGATACCCCCCATGCGTTGCCATTCCTGAGGACTCAGGTGTTATTCCTCTGTACCCAGTAAATTCACGCCATATCCCACCCTTCAAACCGAAACACAGCCATGCAAACACAACTGCTTCACGGTTGAAACACGAATGGGACAGAGGTACCCAAGCAATCGACTTTTGTACAAAGTCTCCCTCTGGTGGTTTTTAAATAAAATCTTAAGAGGGTTTGATCAGAATAGTGTTGTATATGATTTTTTTTTTCTTTATTTAAGAACTACTGCAACAAAATATAAATCAATTACGTATCTACTTGTTCTTTTATTTACTATTGAATACCTTTATCGTCTTGTCTGTATCTCATTTCTTTCTTGTCTTCAAGATCTATTTACTGCCGTCTCAACCGATGGGGTCGATTGTGAGGCATAATTTTTCTACACGTCTGTTTAGGCGCATCACTAGTCGATCACGGTCGACTAACGTTACATCACTAATTTGTTATTTATTACATTTAAAAGGTGGAAATTAGTGTACGTTGGATTATCTCGTTTTTTTGTAAAATTCGACAATAGTCAGATGAAAAGTTCATTATAAATCTAGAACTAACATCCATTCCAAGCAAAAACAATATCTATAAAATAAAAATTTATAATAGAAATCTATTAGAAATTAAAAATATAACTTTAAGACACTCCATAAAACGGTGATTAATAGAACAATCAAATTAAAAATTTTAAGCTATCTAGAGTGTACATATACACAGATATATTCATGTAGAAATAACCATAAATCACAATATTTGTAAGAAGTGTATGGGTGAAGTATAATAAAAAGACCATCTGGCAAATAATAATTTATTTCGATAAAAAAAAGCACGCCAAAATGCCAAAGGCAAATGATGCAATTAAATAATAGCTTTACTTAGAACTAACATAATTCCCCAATTCATTATTTATGTAAATGGAATAATTTTTGTTTATAAAATAAAATATAAAATAAAATTAATATATTAAAATGCTATTAGAAGTGCTCTTACAAAAACTAAGGCTGAAAAGATGAATGTATTAAAGTTTGAGATTATAGACAATACTTAACGTTGATAATTATTCGAGACCCATCCTTTACGTTAGTAAAATGATAAAATTTACGTTAAACGTTCAATACTCGACGATGGAACTTTAAAACTCGTCTAGTATAATCTGTTTCAATCTTAGATTATAAAGGATACAGATTGATAATGTAAAAGAGACATAACATAATAACATACGTTAGAGCGAGACAAACAAGTAGATACGCAATATATAATAGACACATAATAGATAGTATGAATTAAACAATTTCTCATTATTTTTTTTTATATTTTGAAGTGGAATTAGTTTCAAGTGAGTGTAGTATAGTGTATATACTTGTCATTTCTATGCTCTAACATAACAGAACCACAAAATTGCAAATTTTCTCTCGTATTAACGCTTTAGAGATTTATCTATTTAAATGCAATATTATAAAATAATCAGAAATATTTTATACAGGAATTAGTAGAAAACGTATCTAATATGACCCAAACAATGTTCTAAACGTCCATGGATTAAAAATATAATGAATGTAATACGTGAATTTTCACTATTTTGCAACTTCAATTCTATATACATTCAGACCTGCCACATACACACATTTACAAAATACGCACACTGGTGTAATTATTTTCTTGTCTCGTTTTTGTGATTGCATTGCTACTCTCTCAGTACATAGTACGTTGTACTAAGTCTATGGTTTCAATAGAAATGTCTATGGCTTGAATAGAACTTAAGTACTTTCATACTGTAGATTTAGAAGTGTAGCAATCGTCTGTAAATTTTTCAAAACAATATGTTTTTATTTAAAAAAAAAAACTGTTCTACTAGCGAACTAGTAATATTTAAGTAATATAGTAACATTCGATTACTAAACATAATTATTATGAAAAAATAACACATAATTTTTCTACTTACTTTTTAACTTTTGCAAATAACTATGAAATATTCGTACAGAAGATTAATTATATATTTGAAAAATGATTAATTGCGATGACATAATAATGACTGTAATATGGTTTCCATATTTAAATATTTCGATTCCATTTACGTGTATCAAGAGCAAATGCTCTTATCTGTAGATGATAGATAAGACATGGATGATCGAGATAACACATTTTTCATACAAAATTTTCCTCCTTTTGGTATAGTAATAAAAATGTATTCTAGTCGATTTGCGATGAGCTGATCCGTGATTGGTCCACACAAAGTCACCTACATAAACTCACCCCCTTATTCATAAAAAGGTCAAACGTCTCTCAAATCTATTTCAGCTATTGAACTACTTTCTCCTGCTTACACTAAATTCCCAATTTGAAAGGTGACAAAACACTCAAATATTTGAAATAAAGTTTGTATGTTTTAGTCTTTATAAATAAGAGGGTTAGTTTTTAATTTTACAATGTTTCAATATTACCCACAACTTTGTATGCGTGAAATATATGATATGAAATACGTCAAATTTGATTTACAATCGCATGTACTGTTATTTCTCAAATGAATTACTATATACTAATATACAGTGTGTTGACAAAATAAATTTCTTAAAACTAGTGCTACTATTCATTAATATAGTATCAAAAAAAATTTTTTTATACAACTTAGAATGGCAAACAAGCTGACGGCCCACCTGATGGAAAGTGGTAACCGTCGCCTATAGACATGAGCAGTACCATGGACATAATAGAGTATACTGTTACGCCCATGATACCCCCCATGCGTTGCCATTCCTGAGGACTCAGGTGTTATTCCTCTGTACCCAGTAAATTCACGCCATATCCCACCCTTCAAACCGAAACACAGTTATGCAAACACAGCTGCTTCACGGTTGAAACACGAATGGGACAGAGGTACCCAAGCAATCGACTTTTGTACAAAGTCTCCCTCTGGTAAATTTATTACTTATTTATTATTACCTAGAATTTTTTTTATGTTACCAAATATTAAAAAATAAATTAATATTACTTTGCTCTACCCTCTGATATTGATACTCTTTCCACTTTGGGCTTGCTAGAAGAAAACTCTTTTATAGTTAAACTCGCCTTTGTATATATACTAACCTCTGTCATATTTTTTTGTACTATCAGTGTGTACAATAAAGTATAAATAAATAAATAATATTCCCGAAAAAATGTACAAGCTGCATTTATACCACTTTCAATGCATAATAATAGATATGTACATATGTTGTACTTATGTTACATCGAGTCGTTGGTAAGGATATAAATTTTTTTAAAGAATTTTGTTTTTGGTAATATTTGGTATAGAAAAAAAAAAACTGAGACCTTGCTAATGATTACTAACACTACTTTTAAGGCATGAATTTCATTAATTAACACACTGCATGCTATATTTTGTTTGTAATTCACCTATCTATCAATTTACTTATATATAAACAATTAACCAGTTTCATTATAAAATAGTTTAGCCTCTAAGACACGACAAAAGATAACATGGCACATACGTCAAATTTGAGCGTAAATTTTGAAGTTTCAAATTACTATATGTTAAATATCTTTGGTCCCAATCCAGTTATCTACACAATTTGTTTATATATAAGTAAACAGTTATTGAACGATTATGAAATTTTTATATTTATATAGCTTATATCCAATCATGACGTGACGATACTAAAAATCTTATTGTGTTGAAGATTTCATTATGCCGTGAACGCACATTTTATTTGGTACTTTAACTGAACTATTATGTTACGAATAAAAACAGCTTGACCGATATTGATTTTTGCCGTTTTATTCGTTGCATTACAGTGGGTGGTGTCAAAGAAATAAAAAGTGAAATTAAATTAAAAATTAATAATGTTCTAATGAGAATCGCTACTTCGGATTACTTTCAATAGATGGCGTTGTATGTAACACGAAGTTCACCGGATCATCTAATTCTTTTATAAACTTAGTTTATCAATATAAACTGAAACTATTTATTTTTAAGCACCAGTTTCTTAATCGCTGGTAATATCAAATTTGTAGTTTTAGAGATAGAGATTAAGATTTCCAATCGATCATAGTGACATAATAGTATAGAAAAATTACACGTTTTCATAACTTCACGCTCTGCGTCACAGTCAAAGTGCGTACAAAGTCGCAGGTAATCATTATATCTGTCCCATTATATTATAATACACTTATAATAAACTGTACAACATGTATATAGCGGGGGCGACCCAAGCGCTCTGTATCATGGTGAGGCCCGCGAGAGCTGCGAAGGCATACCACAGCAATCCGATGATGAAAATCTGCCAGACTATATGAACCACCAATAATCTGCAAATAAAGTAATAATAAAAAGTACATATATATGTAATATATATAATCTAATGTACATATATAGTATGTAGAGGCGACTAAGGGAACTTAATGCTCGAGGAATGGACAGCAGCGTCCCTTTTAAAACATCAACAAAGCCTAAACTGTTACCAACCCATCTGCCAAGTTAATGTAATGATAATAGTTAACTTAGAACAAAATTTATTAATTTATTACCGACGTTTCGACTTGGATTGCACCACGTCATGGTCACGACAGGACGTGGTACAATCCATAAAATATTTCATCACGTTAAATCCCGATTGTGTATTTAAAATATGTGTTAACAACGCGAAAATTTAAATTTGACATTTTTTTGTTATAATAAAGTTAATACTTTTTTCTCTAGCAGTGATTGTAAATCTATTGAAAAAAATAAATACCTAAACCCGTAAAAAACCAATGTCACGACGTTTATTAATGATAATTCCCGAAATTGCTTAACCGTTTTTAATGAGATTTTTAAATGTGTATAGATAGATTTTTTTACAGGTTTTGATTTATTGTTAAGTACACATGTTCGCCTTATAGTCTATAGCATGCAAATTCATTGTATTATTTGCTACTTGAGAAATAGAATAGTTTTTATTAAGGCAAGACAAAATAAATCCGGTAGATGGTGGTAGGGGGCAAATGAATGTTTGCCAGATCAGAATAAGATACTTCACAACACAAACATACAGTACAGCTAGGGTTGTCAACCCTCCCGCATTGCCCGGGAGGCTCCGGTAATAATGGTTAACTTGCCGAATGTATTTATTTTTTAGAAAAACCGAAGATATGATCCCGGAGTGCAATAATTTCTAACATTTTTATAAAAATTAAATGGATCCATCGCTCAAAATGTTCACGTATGTTCTTTCCACTCCTATCTCTAATGCTTCATGCGACCGCGTATTCGACATTATGTAGCAAGTATGAAATAAATAAAGAAACCGAATGAGTAATCTTTAGTAAAAGCAAAGTTATAAGTAGTTACAAACTTTGATTTTTCATGTAAACACTTTTATGATTATCTGGAGATATACCGATAAAATTCTCCCGGGTTTGTCCTTTCGAAAGTTGGCAACCCTAAGTTGATATGTACCTATGATCACTACAGACATAAATTTTCATAGTAAATGCTACTTACACAGAATCTTTCCTCCTGGCTGCCGGCAGTGAGCTTTCCTTCTCATTATTCAAATATTTCCTTACGCCTAGAAGCAGGTTCGTGAAGTAATCCTTCCACTGAAATTATATATTAACAAATTAATATACAGAAAATAAACAACATAGTCTTCAGGAATACATGAGTAGGGTATGGTACCATGGGGGATAGCGTATTTTGTGATGTCCATGGTATTGTATAGCGTTTAAAGGCGACAGTTACCACTTATCATCAGATAGGCCGTCAGTTTGTTGGGAATCCTAAATTACATAAAATAACATATCTAAATATATTGGTCACGCCTATCTCCCACTGAGGTAGGCAGAAATAATGCAACGCCAAATGCTGCGATTCAATCAGACCTCTTTAAAATACAGAACTATATAACTAAACTTACCCATAAATACATATTTATTGTGGGGCTCATTCAGAGGTATCATTTCTTGAAACTTACATCTTAACCTAATATTTTAAAATGATAATTTTGCAAAATGACTGTTTTATAGACCTTTATAAATTAAATTATAATAATATTGACTTATAGATATAAGACAAGACTTATATAAACGATTTTTTCTAATAGATATTGAAAAAAAAACCGTTTATAATACGTCTTTACAATAATGATTACGTTGTGATATCAAATTTTGATATCACAAGTTTAACACACTTTGATGAGACACGATTCCATGGAATCGACCGCAATATTAAACAGGGCTTAAATACTAGAATTACATACTAAATAAAATAAATCTACTCTTTTTCTCCAGAGGTCCGTACACTGATACAACTTGATGCCCCAAATAGGCTTGACTTGCATAGAAAAGAAAGCTGACATTCATTACTCGTTGTATCCCGTGGCTTCGCCCGTGGTCGTACCATTTTTTTTTTAATTTATAATAATAGACAAATAAATTAATACTCACAACTAAAGTGGAGATATCTATAAAGAACAACTCCCTGTCTGTCTTGTTCAGCTGTTTGCACAAATCTAACGTGTTCGGATTGTAGAACTTCCATTCGGAAAATATGAACCTCTCCAAGCGGCTGAGTGAGTTCCATACATTTTTATTTAAACGGAACAGTCTGTAGAAGAGAAGAACAAATATGATAAATAGAACAGACAACATAATATATAAATTCAATATCTATATATTGGCCCGATTAAAAATATGTTATATATCGGTTATCTTTTTTTTTTTATACAACATAGAATGGCAAACAAGCTGACGGCCCACCTGATGGAAAGTGGTAAGCGTCGCCTATAGACATGTATAATATTTCAATATTAGCTTATTATATATATACCAGAGGGAAACTTTGTACATAAGTCGATTGCTTGGGTATCTCTGTTCCATTCGTATTTCAAACGTGAAGCAGCTGTGTTTGCATAGCTATGTTTCGGTTTGAAGGGTGGGATTTAGCAGTGAATTTACAGAGTACAAAGGAATAACATCTGAGTCCTCAGGAATGGCAACGCATGAGGAGTATCATGGACGAAACAGTATACTCTATTATGTCCGTGGTACTGCTCATATCTATAGGCGACGGTTACCACTTTCCATCAGGTGAGCCGTCAGCTTGTTTGCCGTTCTAAGTTGTATAAAAAAAAATAGGTAATATACAAAAATATTATATAATAAATAGATTCAATATCTATATATTGGTCCAATTAAAGATATGTTATCAAATGTATAATATTTTATGTATGTATTTCATTAAAATAAGGCACACGATGGAAACAAATTGATATATTCGACTAGTATAGGTGATATCGAAATGGGCTATGACCTGAGGGCCTACCATGTAATGTTTTCCGAAATTTCGGAACCAAACGAAACAGAAATTTGATGTTAAAATTACATAATATATGCCGTTTGGAAATATTAAAAATGTTAAAATATTGTTCCTTTAGACTTTCATGATAGGACGTGTGACGAACGAAATGTTAAACTGAATTTATTGGTCCGATTTTGGTATAAACAAAAACACGAAATTGAGTCCGAAATTTCGGAATTTCATTTCATGGTAGACCCGCTGTTTTTTTTTTTCACCGTAAATTACCAGAGAAACCCAATATATAGACATCGGTACGGATATCAACCAATGTAAATAGATTAAAATTATGATAACACTTACATAGCACGCCCGCCAGTTATACGAAGCAGTGTATCTAGTAATATAGCGGGGAAGAAGTGGATAAATATGGCCGACAAGCGGAACAACCACAGCGACGAAACGAATTTTAAATGCGGGTACCTGCAAAAACAAATCAGTTATAATCACTTGTCTTCATCTAAAGGTTGATCGAAATCGCTTTTAGGTGTAATGCCGTTCATTGTTTTCTTAATTTGATTTAATATCTCCACTGACCCCCCTCTGTATAGAGCAGGGAGTAGTACGAAGGTCCCACCAAATCTATCATATGCAAGGGGTGCACAACGAATCTCAAAAGGGGAAGAGAGAGATGGGGGACCCCTCCCCCTGGGGTCCTGTAGTAGTCCTGTTATAACAATCACCAAACTTATTTTGAAAGTGGCTTTCTTGTAAAAGGTTATTTTTGTTTTTTTTTTTTTTGTTATTTTTTTTAATCTGTTATACTCCATCTAGATGTTATTGATCTAGAAATATTTGAATCCTTACCATACAGCATTTTTGAGCGGGTAAGCGTGCAGTAATTCGTTGACCGACAACTCTATGAGCGACCAGGTGAACGGCCTGCACGTAGACGACGAGCAATGGTATACGCTTAGACCGGACCTGAAACACCATCCTTTATTGTACAGCAATTACCAGAGCTCTCTCTGGTAATTAACATTGTAAAAAAAGTCGTCTGCTTGGGTATCTCTGTCCCATTTGTATTTGCATGGCTGTGTGGTTCAGTTTGAAGGGTGAGCATTCTTTAATTTCATATGGCAATGAAATTAAAGAATACAAATGTATGAGCGACACAGTATGTTACTCTGTTATGTCCATGGTTCTATTCATGTCTTTAGGCAACGGTTACCACTTTCCATCAAATGGGCCGTCAGCTTGTGTGCCATTCTAAGTTGTATAAAAAAAAAATTACATAGTTGTATGGGCCGTCATTTTTTTATCAATCTAAGTTGCATAAAAAGTATTACATAATACAAGAAAAAAAAAACACTAACTCTACTTTGATACATATATTTTTTAAATAAAAACAAAACGCGCAATTTTTTCAGTGTTGCAAGTAATTGGATTAAAAACTTACCAATTCCGGTCGATTTATTAAATTTTCAATCAGTAACTCAGTAAAGAGTAATTAAATAAATAATAAATCTTTATGCACTATTTACCCTGTTATTTCAAAAATATTTGTAAATATTTAGTATAATTTTTATTTTTCACATCAATCTTACAATATAATTCCCCCATATTCTGAGTAACAAATTAGTGTTATGGTATTGCCGAAGCATATACAAATGCTTCTATATAATCTAAGCATAGGTATTATAATGCATTCTTTGATACCGATGGGACCATTCATTTCTTTAGGACGGCTACCTCTTTCCATTAGATACGCTGTCAGTTTGTTTGTCATTCTTAATATGATAAATAAAAAAGTACTTACTTAGACTGGGCGGCGTGCCAGCCGGCAACTAGAAGCTGGTTGACCACCACGTCGACGGGGATGTAGTCGGCCACGTTTTGGGTCGCCAGCGGCAACCGTCGCACCACGCCTGGTAAGGGAGAGAAGAGATTGTTAGTAATAGAAACTATCAAACTCACTGCCAGCAATATTAGTTTAATGATATGCTAGCTGCTATCAGTTCGACCTCCATGCATTTCTTTACATATTGGTGGAAATTCCCATCATAACATTGAATGCTCAAAAATTATATAAAAGAACAAGTTCACTTTAAGTTGATCGTGTCTGGATACCTTTTTATTGTCCATTGCAGAAAAAAACAAGCTGTCAAATTTATTTTTTTAACCGTTTTTCCTTTAATTTTGAACATGGATTATATCACCTCGATTTATTTCACCAATAAAAAAAAAACATGCAAAGAAGGGTTAATTATTAATACAATATTTTCCCCGTATGTTATCTGTGACTATCACAGATAACATATAGGCGAATATCAGTAAATACCTTTGCTAGCGCCCATGAGGAATCCTTGGGGTCCCACTTTGGAGCAAGTCCATCCAGGAATAGGCTCCTTCCAAGACCCGACAACTGTAAAATACAATTTCGAATTAAATCAAATTAAACACCTATATAATTATGCATTTTTTTATACAACTTAGAATGGCAAACAAGCTGACGGTCCACCTGATGGAAAGTGGTAACCGTCGCCTATAGACATGAGCAGTACCATGGACTTAACAGAGTATACTGTTTCGCCCATAATACCCCCCATGCATTGCCATTCCTGAGGACACAGGTGTAATTCCTTTGTACCCAGTAAATTCACGCCATATCCCACCCTTCAAACCGAAACACAGCCATCTTCTTCACGGTTGAAACACGAATGGGACAGAGGTACCCAAGCAATCGTCTTTTGTACAAAGTCTACCTCTGGTATATTGATATTGATACCAGTACAGTTTGGTTACATCACCCCCCCCCTCCCTCGTACTAATTTTAATATATAATCAATTAAATTTAATACGCCCTTTTTGTAGAATCCCATGCTAGTCTTGTATTAATTTGTATATATTCGTGCGAGGCCGCGGCGGATCGCTAGTCAAGTATAAATCTGCCGGAATCTACTCGTAGAGGCATACTTACTCATGGTGGGTCTCACAATAGTACATGGAAACAGATCAGCACACTTCACGACTTCGTGCTCGGCTAAATGTTTCGTGAATGTGTATGTATTTGGGTGGCTTTTCAGGATTCTGAAAATAAATTCATCGCTTATTATAAAATGCCAGCTAACCTTATGAACTGGGGGGAAAGGGATTGTTAGTAATGGAGTCAAATAGCCCCATTACTAGCAATATACCGTATTAGGTCGACCTCCACGCGTTTCCCCCTGGAAACCGTTGTGTTTAATACTAGTTGAATACATCAGGATGGGCTGACTGACCTGCTTTCATCCTCATCTGTCATCTCTCACTGGTACCCCGCCAGTGTATACCGATAGCATAGGCGGGATTATTATTATACCATTATCACCCATTTAAAAAAATACCTTATGAACTTCATATCACCTACAACACCATCTATTAAAAGTTTTTTGAAGTAGCGATTCCCATACAAAATTGTGGCAACCGTCGCTTATAGACATGAGCTGTACCATGGACATAACAGACTGTACTGTTTCGCCCATAACACCCCCCATGCACCGCCATTCCTGAGGACTCAGGTAAAACCTCTGTACCCTGTAAATTCACGCCATATCCCACTCTTCAAACCGAAACACAGCCATGCAAACACAACTTGCTTTATAGTTAAAACACGAATGGGACAGAGGTACACAATCAAACGACTTTTGTACAAAGTCTCCCTCTGATGATTTGTATACTCACTTGGGTTCTAATTGCAACAGTTCCTCGTCATTCTTATTTTCTATCAGTGCTATGATCTTCTCGGCGTCATCAGGCGCCTCGTAGACCTTCTCGTGTGCCTCTGTCAGGTACGAGTTGACATATGCTGATGAAACGTGAATCATCACCTGTAATAAAACATATCTATTTAAATACCAATTTATAAGTACAACTACGTCTGTGTGACACCTGCAATAACATTATTTCTCAAACATTTATTTACAAACTAATTTTTACTGCCGACTTTGTCTGTGACAGAATATAACGGGGTAAAAATAAGGGTATTTTTATGAATAAAGACATAGGGTTTTTACATTTTTTTTTTTTAATCGTTGATAATGGAATGGCAACCCCGCCCGCACTAACGGTATACGGCAGCGGGGAACCAGTGAGGGGTGATAGGTGAGATTGAAAAAGCAGGTCAGTTAGCCCATCGTGATGACTACACCTGGAATTCAACTCGATGCTTTCCAGGGGTAACTACGTGGAGGTCGACCTGGCAGGGTATATTGCAATAGGACTTATAGTCTGCATTTTTAACAATTCCCCCCCCCCCTCCCCGCGGTTTACAATGTTAGTAAGTATAAGAATTAAGACAATTATATATATTTTTTTATACCACTGAAGTGGCAAACAAGCATACGACCTACCTGATGATAAACGGTTACCGTAGCCTATGAACGCCTGCAATATCAGAGGTATTACGTATTATATATCTCTGGATATAAATACTCTACAAGTATTACACATTTTATATAAGGTGTATGGATATAAATATATATTGCGGTGGCAGTTCGGGCGGGCCGTATGCTATTACTTATAATCATGAACGTCTTTTGCGAGTATAAATAAATTTTATGATTGATTCATTAAAACTTATAATTCCGTATAAAATACGATAAATATATAATTATAGAATATTAATTTAAATAGACAATAATATATTATTGTATACAATATTAATTCGAACAAGTTGATAAAACATAAGTCAATTTTGTGATAACCTATTTTTAATTACGTTATTACCGATTTCATTATACTATACAACTATATACTATACCCCGCGACTTTATTCTAACATTTTTCTTTTATACAACTTAGAATGGCAAACAAGCTGACGGCCCACCTGATGGAAAGTGGTAACCGTATTATTATCATTATTATAACCTGCCTAGGAGTATGAAGAATAATTGTATTAAGTTTCGTTAAAATCCGTCGAGTAGTTTTTGTTTCTATAATGAACATACAGACAGACAGACAAAAAAAAATTTTACTAATTGCATTTTTGGCATCAGTATCGATCACTAATCACCCCCTGATAGTTATTTTGGAAATATATTTCATGTGCAGAATTAACCTCTCTACAGATAAACAACATATTATATATATATATATATATATATATATATATATATATATATATATATATATATATATATATATATATATATATATATATATATATATATATTTTTGTAAATACGGAAATACTTAGAACACTTATAAACACCTAGACTATAAACAAACAAATACTGTTACTATGTGATAATCGAACTCTCAACCATCAAAGGGTAAGGCAGTGTTTCAAAGAACTATCTATACCTGCAAGGTCGTGAAATAAAAATTTTAACTATTTAGATCTAAACAAACAAACGGACAGAACAAACAGAGATTGTTTTATATAATTTAGTGATAGTATAGTTTATACATTATTTGTTTATCAAGATTTGAGATATAATAATATAAACTAAACATATGCAAAAATAAATAAGATTAATTTTATTACTTGCTTATCACGCACTCGATTGTTTATATATCAGCAATTACATGATTTATATCATAGCCACTAATATCTAGTAAAGATGTCAAATCTTTTATTACTCTACATATATAAACATAAGTGTTATCTATACTAAGCGCGCGTGTGCGTGCGTGCGGGCGTGCGTGCGTGCGGGCGTGCGTGCGTGCGGGCGTGCGTGCGTGCGTGTGTGCGTGCGTGCAACGTGCGAACGTGGGGGGAAAGGGATTGTTAGCAATGGAGTTTGACAGGCCCATTGCTAACAATATGCCCTATCAGGTCGACCTCCACGTGGTTCCCCCTGGAAACCATCGTGAACAAATCTTGTTGCATTCATCACGATGGGCTAACTGACCTGCTTCATCCTCACCTATCATCCTTCACTGGTGCACCGCCGGTGTATACCGATACCATTCCATTATCATCCATTAAAAAAAAAAGTGCGAACGTGCATGTGTGTGTGTGAACAATCAGTTCATAAAAATGAACTTTACACAAATCTGTCTGACAGCATATCATATATATATATATATATATATATATATATATATATATATATATATATATATATATATATATATATATATATATATATATATATATATATATATATATATATATATATATAAATATATAATAATCAGCATATTAAAATTAAAACATACCTTCAAATTTTTTATTTGACGACTTAATTCCATCACTCTCCTTGTACCCAAAAGATTAATTTTCACTGTCGGCCGCAGAGACTCCTGGAAGTCCAGGGTGGCTGCCGAGTGCACTATTACATTTACATTATTGATAAGCAGCTCACGGTCCTGAGGGCTCAATCCGAGGTTCTCTTGCCCAACATCGCCGGACACTGGAACAATTTTCTTGAACACATCTGTTGTTTCTTTTTCTATGAGTTTTTCGAATATCTGTAAATTAGTTTAAAATATAACATTGATATATTTAAGATTATTTTTCAGAGGGGACCTGGCATTGTGTATATATACAGTCAGACATGTCTTTTGTTAAATTTTGCTTAGGCCCTGACAAAATTCTGGTGTTGGTAGGCCCTACCTGGCCCCCTTAAATATACCTATGATTATATGCACATATATAGTGGATTTGGTCCAAGATAGGGAGAGATAGAAAAAGAGCAGGTCTATGCGTTAATGGAATTTAAACTGACTGACTTATAAATGATATTATTAAAAAAATAAATGTTATAAATAGTTTATACTTGTAAATACATATTTATATTAAATTTCTTATGACTTAATCCTACCTATTATTATAACTATGAAATTTTGCAAAAAAGTATTTTTTATTTTGTTTTTCATGCTACTTAAAATGATGAACAAGCAGATGTTCCTCCTGACAAAAAGTGGTAACCATCACCTATAGAAATTAACGGTGTCTGTGTCGCTCATGATACCGTTTATGTGTTCCCATTCCTGACGATTAAGGTATTATGTCTGCTTTATACCTTGTATGTTCATTACCATATCCCCTTCTTCAAACCAAAACAAACACAGCCATGTAAACCAATGCTTTCAGCAAAAACGTTATTTAAGTGTGTTTGTTACTCATCATAAAATAAGTCATTAACTATCCACTATAGAACATAGGCTTCTCCCATAAAGGGGGGCTTTGCCTCTAGTTGCCACGCTTGACAAATGGGATGGCAATTGCAGTTAAGCTTTAGTAATTTTTACTTATATATATATAAATTATATATATATATATATATATATATATATATATATATATATATATATATTGATGCAATAATTATATAGATATATATGTTCTAATATATTTTCATCTGCTATTTGTTTAATGTAACTTATGTACCTATTTATAAACATATAAAAATATTTATGCAAAAAATAAATTTTTGTTCATACAAGTTACACTCACTTATATAAATATGAGTCAACAGTATTAAAATAATGTCAAAATGGCAGTACAAAATAATGCTGTTACTACAAAAGATTTTGCAGTGTTCACCATTATTTTAGGAGAATATTAAATTTCTAGATTCTTGCAATTTTTTTATAACCTAAATGCAACTTGTAAAATACTAACAGTATACCGGCATACTGCCTGCACGGATTCAATTTACACTAAAAAATGAAATTACTTTAAAATAAATTCAAGCGTGATTGAATAACAAACAATATAAGGTTTAAAATATTAATAGAATAGGATAAAACAACTTACTGGATTTTTTGGGAATTCCTCCAGCCTTTCAGATATTTCCTTGCCTTTTTTAGGTCTCATAAGTAGGTACAATTTGCCAGCTTCAGGTATACTCCTCAGTATCTTCTCTATCAAACATAATCCTACAAAGCCGGTGCCGCCGGTGATGAAGAAATTTTTACCGGAGTAAAAAGCACGCACTTGCGATTCTTCAGACATTTTGATATATCACTGGAAATATAAATATTTCAGTTTATAAAATGCTTTATTCTTGGTTTTAATAAGAGGGCTAATACCGTAAACCGTGGGTGTACACGTACCTAAGTAATTAAATAGTGCAAACAATTGTAAATCAATTAGGTATAAATACCTAGATTATCTATGATTTTTTTTTTTTTTTTTTAGTACGTTTGTTCCGTTTGGAACAGGCTAAGGTCGGAGACCATGCTGCCTAGTCTTCAAAAAGATAAATTGTCTGGAATTTTATTTTTCTAATGTCGCTTCAATTATTGTCATAATCTTCAATATTTCATTTGTCAAATCCGGTAAGTACATTTTCATAAATATCTTTTCTTGAGTTTTCTTAAACCAGTGGATTTATCAAATTAAAAATAAATAATTATAAAAAATCATTGTCTTGCAATTCAATAAAAGTATTCTTATAGCTCCTTGAATGTTGTAGTAATATAAGTGAAAATAGCTTTGAAACAAGAAGGAAATCTTAAGAGAAGCGGGATTGAGTGCGGGATATTTTCGGGTTTTTTGAAGATAATCCTAAGTTCGTCAAACATAATGTGTCTTTGAATGACAAATTCAGAGCAATCAAAAAAAAGGTGATGTAGAGATTGGGCTGTATTTGAGTTACACCATGTGCATGATGGGAAGCGATCATGCCCATTCGGTGCAGGTGTTCGTTGAAATGTCCGTGGCCGATTCGTAATCTACAAATATTGGTGTAAAATTTTCTGTTTGTATCCTTTCCTTTGCAGAACCACGGTTTTCCAATACGCCAATTAATTTTGCGGTACCATTTGCCTTTAGTCTGTAATATTTGAGTCCAATGCTCCTCCCATTTAGTTGTAACGATTTTATGTATTCCAATACTACAATCTGAGTAACAAAGGGGTAAATCTTGAACACGAGCAGCACTTGAATTAATAATTTTAGCCAAAGTGTCTACTTGTTCATTCCCAAACACTCCAATATGTGAAGATAATATCTTTTCCATATATATTACAGAGATGATAATATTTATTACGAATTTCTTGAATTAAGTAGTTTGATGATGAAATGAATGTGTTATTTTTTAATGCCATAAGAACACTCATACTATCTGTAATTATAATCCATTTCGAATATAGTACCTGTTTTTCTATGTATTCTAATGCTAAAAATATAGCTTTTGCTTCTGCTGTGTAAATACTAGCCAAAGTTGAAATTTTATAACCGTGACCAAATCTATTTGACAAATCGTAAAAAGCCACTGAAGTGCTAAGTGCATTTTTGGAACCATCTGTATATATCTGCCTGTAGTCAATAAATTCTGATAAAGTCTCATACATATCGTGCTTTTCTTTTATGTCTTTACGTATAACAATTTTGATCTTACAGAACTTACTCTCATAAAGGCCATTATAACAAGGAAGTATCTTACTACTATAGATGTTATATTCATCTCGTAAATTCAAATCATTGACAATAGTTTTATTCAAAAACATAGAAATGGGGCAATTTAATAATTTGAGTATGAGTGGGTTATTGGAAACTGAAAAAACTTTGAAGAGAAATTTGAGTTTTAGGTATTCGAAACGAAGAAGGATAGGAGGCAAATTACATTCTACTTGCATTGAGATAATTGGAGAAGTATACATAGCACCTAAAATAAGTCTTAAATTCATATTTTGAATTTTTTCGAGTTTTTCTACTAATTTATGTTCTGAGGCATAACAAAGCGTAATCAAAATTACTTCTAACAAGAGATTTGTAAAGTAAAAGGATAATTTTAGGATCAGCTCCCCAGTTACGACCAATTACAGATCTTATTATATTAGTGGCTCTTAAAGCACGATCTACTAAGCAATCAACGTATAGATCCCATTTTAAATTTTGATGAAAAATTACCCCCAGAAATTTAACGCTACAGTCTGTTGGAAGAGTTTGATTATTATATATAATATTCATTAATGGAACATATTTATGAACTTGATGAAAAACAACTACTTTACTTTTGGTTAAACTAATATCGAGGGAAAGAAGAGAAAAATATTTCTCAAGTCTTTTTAATGACTCATTTAACACTAATTGCATATCAATAATATTCTTTCCTTTTATATAAATTAATAAATCATCGGCAAATTGCAAGTTGTTCACACTGTTTCCTAAAATTGAATTAAGTTTATAGATATATAAAATATATAGTAGCGGGCTTAGAATACCACCTTGACATACTCCTTTAGAGCTTAACCTAGGTCCTATTAATTTACTATTTACTTTAACATACACTTCTCTATTACTAAGAAAATTATAAATCCATTCGATAAGTTTCATTGGAAGAAATGAGGATAAAATCGAAGATAGAACTGTTAAATTTACATTGTTAAAAGCTCCTACGACATCTAAAAAAACAGATAGAACATATTCATCGTTATTCAAAGCAGTACTAAGGTCGACATAGAAGTTCGCTAAACTTTCGCGCGCTGAATATCCACGGCGAAAACCAAATTGATTCGATGGTAATATACTATTACTTTCAATAAAGAACTCTAAACGCTGTTTAATTAATTGTTCGAATAATTTGCCTGCACAGGACGTCAATGTTATAGGTCTATAGGAGTCGAAATTTGTAGGATCTTTACCGGGTTTAATTACTGGAATCAAACAATCCATTTTCCATTCTGGTGGGATAATACAGTCCTTCCATAAATCGTTAAAAATTTGTAAGAGTTTAGTAAGGTTTATTTTATTCAGCAATCGAAACATATTGTATGTTAAGCGATCAAGGCCACTAGCTGTATCTTTTCTAGATTTTACTGCACTGGATATTTCATCAATTGAGAATGGGTCAGTGAGAAATTTTGGGCATGAATTAACAGAATTAAACTGTTTGTCATCAAAAGGTGAGTGTACAAAATCAGGAGTATATTTGCGTAAAAAATCATTGACCCATGATATATCTTTAAAATGATTTTGACGATGTTTTGAATTTAGTTTTCTCATATTTTGCCAAACAGTGGAAATTGGTGTTAATCTATTAAATTTGGAACAAAATTCCTGCCACCCCTGTTGTCTTACCTTAATTACTAACTTTTTAACAGCTTGAACTCTTTTAAAATTTATGTAATTATCGAGAGTTGGATTTTGTTTAAACCTAAGGTAAGCCGCTTTACTATCATTGACAGCTGTCGCACCTGTTATTCCACCAAGGTACTGCAATATGTTTGTGCCTCTTTGAAGTATTTGCACCGCTATTTGATAAGTTCCTACGTGGAACGGAACGTTCCACAGCTGTCAAAATAATTTTACAGAACCTATTGTAATTGTTTAAGGGTTCATTGACATCATACTCGAAATCCAAAAGTAATCGATTAACAGTTTCAGAATAAAGATCCCAATTAACGAGACGTAGGTTTATACGATTTAACAAAAGTTTATTAACTTCATCTATAGGAGCATGTTGTTCACCTGACGGAGTTGATGAAGAGTTCTTTGTGTTTATTTTAGTAAAAGTCGGCAGGTGATAACTTCCTAACGGATCATCATGAACCGACCACTCGCATTTTAATGATATGGATGGGGATACCATAGTTAAATCAAGGCCATTGGGGCTCCAAATATGAGAGCCAACAGTAGTAACTTGCTTATCATTTAATAGTACCAAATTACATTCATCTAAACAATCAAGAATGTCTTTACCTCTTGTATTAGTGGAGGTACAACCCCACATAGTATGATGTGCATTTAAATCTCCAGATATGATAGTGGGTTTAGGAAGAGACTCCAAAAAGAACTTAAATTTGGCTTTAGTAAAACTAGGTGTACTATTGGTAGGACAGTAAATACTGGCAACTGAATACCAAGAATTATTAACTTCAATACTAATAGCTATAGTTTGCAAAGAATTGTCGAAAAAAGAGTGAAGTTTTTTATATCTAATACTATTATGTATAATAATCGCTACTCCATTGTGGTTATTACCACAATCATTTAAATTCTATACAATAATCTTTAATTTTTAATTTGTAATGTGGTTTTAGCCAAGTTTCTGAGATGAGAGCAATGTGAATATGATGTTCATTTAAAAATTGTGTAAAAATATGTCGATTGCTCAGTAGGCTCTGAGCGTTCCACTGTATGATAGTTAATTGGTCTCGATTGAATTTTGTGAAATAGGTGTATTACCAAAAGTATCATATAACACATTCAAAACACTTTTAGTGTTAATAGATGTGTTCTTTGTGTTATGTAGTGAAATAAGTTTGATTATGCTTTCTATTAAAAGTGATAAACTCTTGTTATCAGAATTTAGAATTGAAATTAGGTCTACATTTTTTTTAGGTTTGTTACCCAGTTTAGGAAATATTTCAGTGCTAAGTATATCTCCAAAAGAAGCAGGTCTGAATTTAGATCTATTTTCAGCAATTTTCTTTTGTTTAACAGGGCATTGCGGTGATACACTTGTGTGATTTCCATTGCAGTGTACACAAATAGCGTTTTCCATTCCAGTTGTACAAGTTTTATAATTATGCTCACCTTTGCAGATGCTGCAACGCTCAGAATTCTTACAGAATTTAGCTAAATGTCCATACCTCAAGCACCGGTAGCATTGTTTAACTGGTGGTATATATGGAGTGACATTGTGGCGCCAACCTCCAATATCCAGATATTCAGGTAATACAGATGCAGCAAAAGTAATTGTCACGGTTAGAGTTGGCTGTAACACATATCCATGAGTCAAGGTATTTTTTCTTAAAATTCTTTTAATAGCAATAATTTTCTTAGAACTCGATATCATAGTATATATTTTTTTATTAGATATATTTGTAGGTACATTTCTAATAACGCCTGTAACTTCTGTTGAAGAAGCAGGAATACTGGCCTTAAAATGGTAGTCATTTAAAAAAGTTTTATTATTTAAAAAAGCATTGGCTAAGTCTGGCTTTTGAAAGTATACTCCGATTTTGAATTTATTTATAGATCTAAGATAAGTTACCCCTTTATTAAATCGTTTTAAACAGGAGGAGAGTGAGAGCAAGTCTCTGGATCCAATGGTTTTCTGACTATCTGAGGATTCTACAAAGACAACAAATTCTGTCCCAGGGGATTCCTCGGGATATCTTCTAATATAATCTGTGACGTAGTAAGGTTTATACTTATCGGCCTTATCAATTTCAGATTCTGAGTCAGTAGAAGTATCTTCCGAATATATATCCTTGTCATTACAAGGTTCATGGTCTACATCACCTGAATCGTCATCTTTTTTTTTCCTTTTTCTACAACTGCGCTTCCCCATGAATGCTAATTATATTACTGTCGCTGAATTTAGTGAAAATATAATATTTTATTAAATAATAAGAATTGATAGAGATAGTTTTAATAAATTAATAAAAAAAATTTAAAAAACCCGCTTGTTCTTATTCGAGTTTCCCGCCTTTTTTTTTTTCATTATCTATGAATAGCGATGCGAATGACAGTGACGATAAATAAATAATGACGTGACATTAGTGATGTGACAGTAAACAGAACTCGAATATACGGTATTAGAACACTTTTAAGTAACTACGGTACTCGAACACTGATCGTGTGTAAGTATTTTTATTACTCACTAGAAAATCCGTCTCATCATCACTAATTAATATAATTTGCATGGTATGGTATGGCAACTAAGTAAGTACGTAGGTATCTATCCACTATGTATTCATGTTATTGACCCCGACATAAGAAAGGTCATAAACGATACGTAGGTATCATAAATAAATAGAATGATACCGATTCTGAAACGCCATTTCTCTAAATCTATGTCTTAACATAATATTTTAATTTGATAATTAGACAAAATTATTATTTTGTGGACTATCATAAATTTAAACTATAATAATTTTTACTATAAAGATTTCGCTGTGACATCAAATTAAAATTTTTAGAAATAAAATTAATGAAATGGCGCCTGACAACCGTTTCCAATAACTCTACAAACGATAATCAATGTACAAAGAAATTGTAATCGTGTACTATATGTAAATAGGTATTTAATTAGAACAAACCATAAGAATTTAAAATAAAATGAAGTGTTGAATGAAAATCATAATATCCTCTAGTACTACTTGAATTTCAGTATATACCAATACATAGTTATTGAAATATATAGTTTCAATATCAGATATTCAAAATTAATATTTTATAAGTGAAAACTGAAATAATAAACAGTATGTAAATCTAAAAATCTATTAGGATCCTTAAAACATATTAGGACCGAATTAAAAAAAAAGACAAACTTTTGTCAATGTTTCTTTGGTCAAAATATTAATAAAAAGATGTTAACGATTACACCTGTGTGGACTAATATGAAATAAATATTTCGATGTGATATATCAATAAAAAAACAGAAATATAGCATTCTTAATTTACGTTTTACGCAGTCACTTGATGGAAATGGAAAAATACTTGATGATGCCTACGTAATTAAGTATTATGATACTTATATGATAATTAAATTGCTAGGTATGTAGGCTACTTTTCCATCAAATTGCAGAATATGAATATATTAAACATAAACATATGGAGTATATTGTAAATCTGTCGTAGATAGATATTACAATAAGTAACAACTAGTTTTTTTTATGTGTGATAATGAAATGTTGAAATGGTAACCCTGGCTACGCTATCAGTAGGTATATGCCGGTGGGGCACCAATGTAAAATGATAAATGAGGATAAAGGCAAGTTAGTCGGTCCATCGTGAAGAATTCCACAAGAATTAACCACGATGATTTCCAGGGTTAACAACTGTAATTAAAAATTATTAAATAAAGGTGCCTGTATAATATTTTTTTCAAACATGCTTGGAACTGTGAGCATTACTTTGACAATCTTCTTCGAGATAAATCAAAATTGCCATACTGGCCAGATACATGGGCAGCGGCCAGCAAAAGTTGAATGGAAATCCATATCTGTCGTGTTTTGCGGCCAGATAAATTACTATGTAAACTGTCTGTCTGTCTGTCCTGTAATTTAAAAATGGAATGACCTGTTACTTCGAAACATGGCTACCAAGGAGGTAACTAATAAAAGGTTTTATTTAAATTTCGAACTGTCTTGCAAATAGAAAGCTGTTTATTGAAAAAAAAAACAAAGGAACATTATGGCGCGTGAAAAATTATTATTGTTCGTTATTCGTCATTGAATTTAAAAAGTAAAATTGTGTTTTTGATTTACGCGCATTGTTTGAAAAAAGTACTATACAAGCCTTGGCCACAACTAGGCATTGATGGACTCACGTATGTGTGCCTTGGCTACGCCTCGGCCCACATTTGCACGTTCGTCCATGAATACCTCAGCTGCTGCAGCAATGTATTATTATTGTTTCCCCTCAAAGATTACAATAGTAAACTTATTATATATATTATTGTATTTTTTATTATATAGCTACTAGCTTTAACTCGCGATTTTGCTCGTTTTACCGAGATAAATAATTCGCAAATACGATGACTTCAATCCTAATAAAATTCATATCATGGAACAAAAACGACAATATCGCAATCAAAAATAATTACCAAAATCGGTTCAGGATTTAGGAAGATATCACAGAATATACAATAAACATTGTGATTTTATTTCAATCTTACTGGGATACATTACGAAGATGGAGTGCATTTTGGGAAAACTTGAAAACTATGTGTATATTACGAATAATAAATAGAGGTATTAAAAGGTTGCAAAAATATTTTCTGACTTGATCTTATGGGATCCGAACCCACATCTCTGTGCTATCCGGACTGACTGTATTCCCAGATAGGTGGATAGTCCAAGAAGAAAGCTAGTTTGTCTCCGCAGGCTATTAGGTAGATAATATTACTTCGGGAAATTTTATAAAATAAAACCACATATTCACCCTGTTCCTTCCTTACGGAGCCATTTTTTAATAACTTTTTATTGTAATATTTTAATAAGTTTTTTTTTTATATACAATAATAATGTAAAGGAAATAAATCTGTTTCGGATCGAAACAATAGTTACATACATATGTTATCGTTACCGTGTTCAACGGTGTGTAAGATGAAACGAGACAGCGATATTTGGCATCGTATTCTTTCTTATGCGTATCTTAACAACAAACGTATCGTCTAGAATCTATCGTCGCTATTTGTACACGGGGTTTCGGGGTGAGGTTGTATTTTTGTGAATAATTATATTATAACGAAACAGTATACTCTGTTATGTCCATGGTACTGCTCATGTCTATAGGCGACGGTTACCACTTTCCATCAGGTGGGCCGTCAGCTTGTTTGCCATCTAAGTCGTATAAAAAAAAAAGCTGACGGCCCACCTGATGGAAAGTGGTAACCGTCGCCTATAGACATGAGCAGTACCATGTACATAACAGAGTATACTGTTTCGGCCATGATACCCCCCTATGGATTGCCATTCCTGAGGACTAAGGTGTTATTCCTCTGTACTCTGCAAATTCTCTGCCACATCCCACCCCTCAAACCAAAACACAGCCATACAAACACAACTGCTTCACGGTAGAAACACGAATGGGACAGAGGTAGTATACATATGATATATTTTTTTAAAGTTATATAAAAATTATGAATCTCACAGCACAATGTCAGATGTAAATATATACATAAAAAGGTATAGGTACACAATTATTGACATGGTAATGTGCAAACAGTGGACACGAGAATGAAACGCTGGTCAAGCCGACGATTTACGTCATTCAAGGCGAAAAGATGTTTTCCTTTGTATAGAACGTGGACTTTAGTTATTGGCATACGAGTATTAAAAAAAACAAGCTGCTACCCGTAGTTTTACTTACGCAAAACCGTATCCGCCCGTTTTCATAGAACATTCTTGATATTTATCATAAAAATAGTTACTTTATTCATTTATATTTATTATTATAATAAACGAAATGTATTTACTTCATTTCTATGAAAAATTTTAAAGAATTTTTTTACATTTTATATGTTATGTAGGTGAAAAATTCAATTTTCAACAAACTTCAAAAAGGAGGTATTCGATTCGAATGCATTTTATATATATATATATATTTTTTTTTTTTGATGGATGAAAATGGTATGGTAACCCCGCCTGCGCTAACGGGATACGCTGGCGGAGCACCAGTAAAGGGTGGTGAGATGAGAATGAAAAATGGCCAGTTAGCCCATCATGATCAATTGATCAGGAATTAACCATGATGGTAGACTGGGGTTAGGTATGCCTAAAATAAACCTCTTACAAGCGACTTAATTATATACAAATAGGAAATAATTAACGGTTAATCCAGTACACGTGAGTTGTTTACAAGGTAATAATCACTGCTTAAGATCTAAGAATAAACTGTAAGATCTAAGACTAGTAGTATGAAATATATGAAGGGTTTTTAATGTGTGAAAATGGAATGGTAACCCCGCCTGCGCTATCAGCAGTAGTATCTAGGTACCTATAAGAATTTCGCCATGGGTTTTCCTAGTACAAAAATTATTATTATTATTTACAAGATTTTGGATATTTCCTAATTGTCCAATTTATTTATATTATTTATTTATTTAATATTTTTTGCTGACTAAAAAAAATAAAGAGGTTTTTAATTTGGACGCACTTTTCTACATACCTATTTAATCAGTTTCAACAGAACTTAATGAAAAAAAAAAACTGGTTTTGTTTAGATTATTACAGAAACACTAATGATATTAGTATCAAATCGAAACGTTCAATCGATTGTTCTATTTTTTTTTTTTTTATTTTGTATTACTATTTGATATCAGCAGACTGTCTATGGTTGAATCAATTATTCATTGTTTACATTTTCAAACGATTCCAAAAAGGAAATTCTTAATTCGGTTGTCATTTTTTTTATGTTTGTAACCTCACAACTCCACCAGTAATAAACCGATGTAAATTTTGTTATCTCAAAGGATGTACTTGCAGTTTGGTTCCATTGAAATTTTATCATAAATAAAAAATAAAAAGTAGTTTAGTTTTTAGATCAAAATAACTGGTTTTATCGCAATTGAAATCAGTTTTTTTTTTTTACTGTACACAATCTTTTTAATAAGTTCTATTAAAACTTATTATATCTATGTAAACAAAATTTAATTTTTAAAAAGCTACAAATATGTTTTTTACATAGTAACAACTTAAATTTTAACTTCAATCCAAGTAGTACAAAACAACATATATTTATTTTGTGATAATTAATGACGTTGTTTTTGCAGTGTAATTTTTTTTTTATTTAATACTTTATTGTACACACTAATTATACATAAAAATATGACAGAGGTAATTCAATGTACAAAGGTGAGCTTAGCTCTAAAAGAGTTCTCTTCCAGCAAACCCAAAGCGTAAAGGAGCATCAATCAGCAGGTAAAGCTTTGTACAATATTGTGACAATTTTCA